TGAAGCGGTATATAAGTCTACTGCTATATTATTGCTATTCTTTCTCTTCTGTAAAGAGTTCAGACCACAACTCCTTGGTCAATGGCTGGTGGTTAATGAGGTTGTTGCAATGTACCTTGTTTTCCCATTCGTCTGGTAGTCATACGGCTAGATCTTTGTTCCCTGACCCTTGCCCTTCCGGAAGGAGGAAATGGTGCTTTTTGTCTGGTAGTTGTGTGATTTGCCGTTTATCTTGTCCTTCTCGTGGTCTTTCTCCAGATCCAAATAATTCAGGGTGTCCCACCTTCAGGGTCTTGTGATAAAAATTTCGGGCTTCCCATACAGAGTTGAGACAATATTTTTGTTTATCAAATGTAATTATGATCTTTTATCTTAATCTATTATTTTAATAACTCTAGTGAAGAAACTGTGTACCATCATTTGCAACCCTGGGCACAGTAAGTTTATAAAATGTTATTTAGACTTACACAGCAAATTATATATGTGGAATACTAACCACTGCTACCTCCAGATCTGCTGGGCATTGCTGGGTGCCTGCTGAGAATCGATGGCCTGAAGCAATTAGAGCAATTAGGTTTTTATTAAGTATAACTTGTGAGCACCTTACTTATAAAGCTACAGATCGAAGCTAAAAACTGAATCCTATAGCCATTCCAGGATCACTTGCAAACAACTCATTGGCCCCAGAGATCATCTGGATATCAGTTCTAATGAAAAAAAGTATCTAATAATGATAGGAATGTTTTAATATTTTATATCAACATAAAATCAAAGTTGCTCTCTCAAAAGTGCAGGTATTCTCTCACGCCCTTTGTTCTCCAAGACATCCACTTTGAAGAGCCATTTGCTACCTCTGTGACAGATAAACTTTGCTTTTCTTATTATTCTAATAAAAAGAATATCCGAATCCTATCTTCCTGTAAACCCACAATCAAAATTAGTTGTAGCCTATTGCAATGGATTAGAATGCTGATTTTCTGAGAGCAGAGAACTAACTAATTCCTCTAATGTGCCTTCTGTTTATGAAATTATATTTCTCCTTGTTCAGTGTAAATACATGCAGAGTTGTCTTCTGTTTGGTAAACATTATTATTTTTACACAGAATACTTTAGGAAGGGGAACTGTGTGCTGGGCTCTCCTTTTCCTTTTCTCTCTCTCCACTGGAAGAAAAAATAATAATACTTAAAGCTATCCTCTATGGATTTCCTTCACTCAGAAGAGAAACTCCAGAATGCATGAAACACCGGCGCCTTCTGCCTGATCCATATTAATAACCTTTCCTTTACTGTGACTGATTTATGCCCCTTTTCGCCCCCAGGGTGTTCAGTCTAAAATAAAGGCAGACCAAATAGAAGCCAAATACTTCTTTCGGCAGGAGGGAGAAAAAAAGAGCAGTCAAGCTGTTCAAGAAAGAGAAACTCATTTCTATAAGAAGGTTTGGTTCTATAGGTTACACAACCAGGAAATATACTTGCCAAAAGATCGGAGCAATGGTTTGGTTTGATTAAAATTCTCCAGTGGCTGCATATTGATTCAGCAGCTCTGTAGAGGTGGCGCCCTTGCTTTCATTATTTATCTAGTGCCATAAGTGCACAGTGCACAGCAATTGGGATTGCCAGATGTCCCTAGTATGATAGTCCTGGAAGTCTGTGTGGTGTAATGAATAGAGCATCAATTGTTAACCTGGGGAACCTGGATTCCAGTCCATACACAGCCCTCTTTCAAAATGGGTGGCATAGTCATTTCCACCCAATCTTTATTACAAGAGTGTTGTTATGACAGACATACCACATACAACTGTGCTATTCAAAACTCATGCAAAGCTAGCTAGGAAATAGAGAGGGAGGGAGAGATGATAGATAGGTATGTGTGTGAGAGAGGGAGGGAGAGAGAGAGAGACACAGACAGAGACAGATGACAGACAGACACAGGCAGGCAGACAGATAAATAGATACAGGCATAGATCAATGATAGATAGATAGATAGATAGATAGATAGATAGATAGATAGATAGATAGATAGATAGATAGATAGATAGATAGATAGAGTAGAAAGAGGGAGCAAGTGAAGTATCAACCTGATGGGTAAGGAGCATCAGCTGTGAGGTTGGTTAGTGCCTTGAAAGCCCTCCCTCTCTTTTTTTAGCTTTCAGTTTTAATTGTTATTCTTGTTTTAATGGCATAATTGACTGTTTTAATGGCTTAAAATATAAATAATATCTTATTTGGATATGATTGTATGCTTTTTTCATTGTACACTCCCCAGAGTTGCCCTGTGACTGAGATGGGTGGGTAGTTTTCAAATTTGATATATAAGCAAGTTGACTTTTTTTTTTAAAAAAAAATCAAAGTTCAGCTGAGCACAGTAACTAGCCCTTAATTTGTTTAGTAATAATGCACTTTAATTCTGTTATCATAAAATTAATTGGGGATAAAAGTAGCTTTGGAAAACCTTTTTCTTGCTAATTCATAGTACATGGCTTCAGGGGCAAGGAATTAAAAAGACTGTATTCTCTTCCTTTTTCAAAATTAACTTTGGATATTAAGGCTCCTCAGCTCTTTGTATACACTTTTTCTTCACATGGGCAAAGCTGCACAGGAGATACCTGCACTTGACTCAGAGCTGAAGATGGGGGGGGGACGGGGGGGGGGCAGACAGCCAAGTAAAGACATGGAGTGAGAGAGAGGCTCAAGTTAACTAAATGATGCTACCAGAATCCCACAATGCCCACATCTTGATCTGACAGCCTTAAGTTTTGATGTCAGTGCAATTCAAACTCACACAAACTCTTCTAAGTGTTTCCCTTGGCCTTTGAAAATTGCTGTGAGTTGTGTTGTGCTGTTCCCCCCACCCCTTCTTTCTTTTCAAAGTGCTCTACTATGTAACTCTGGCTGCAAACAATGGCTATAGAAATTGCTTTGACCGTGTCAGCAGAGTGGATGGGATGGTGGTGGGCTGTTCTGCTTGGCCCTAATTCCAGAAACAGAGCTAGCCAGCAAGAGAATGTTTTTGCAAACATTTCACCAGCAAAAAGCAGCCCTGTGCTTTTCAGGGAAACTTCACCCGGGTGATGCTGCAAACATTCTGCCCAGAAGTGCAGAAGTCATTTTTGTTGTTGTTTTGTTTTCAAGCTGGGCAAGAAGAGGGGAATCTCTGCTCTATCTAGGATTTGGCAAAGAGCTCCTAACAGCTGAGAGTAGCCCTCTTTTTTCCCCATCACAAGAGCAGCTCATGCTGAGCAAGGCTCATTAAATATTCACTTCCAGCTGCAAGCAGCTCATTAAGGCAGCACCAAGCAGTGACGCTGCTGCTGGAAAACCGTGTCTTGCTGAGCATCACCATGCAGAGGCTCAGTGGAACACTGGATGCTCTCCTTCTCAGTGCCTTCTCCATGATGACCAGCTTATGCTCTTTGCTTTGCATTAAGTACAGGTAAAAAGACTGCACTGAAAAGCCTGAGGCAGATGGACTCCATTCGTTCATTCGGGTTTGGGCTCTTTGGTGGGCGCGTGCTGGGGTGTGGCCATCGAAATTGCCTTCCGAATCGTTTTCGGGGTCGGGGGGGGGGTCTTGCTGACAAGCAATGTTGGATTTTCTGGGCATGGTTTTGGGTCTTGTTTCATAGGAAATACCGCATAGAAGAAAAAGAAGACGACGGGCGCCAGGAGAGAGATGAGGCAAAGTTGTGTTAGGTTTTGGAAAGTTTGCAACTTTCTGAAGGAAGGAAGATTCCCCCAAGTGTCGGTTTTAGATGCTCTTTCCGTGACGTTATGTTGGAACAGTTCCCACAAGGTTGTGGTTGTCCCTCTTAAATTCCCTTTTGAGGAGCTGTTGCAGAGCTTGGAAGCTTAAGTACAACCTGAACAAACCCCAACCTCACTGCCGCTAAACTTTTTGGACAACCTATTGTAACAGTTTAATAATAGATAACATACTGTGTTCTTAAATTAATGAAACAGCTTTTTCCCATTGGAAGTTTCTGGCATCATAACTTTTTATTTAAATAGCCAACAACAACCATCGGCATTAGGGGAGAAGGCAGAGTCTGAAATGGACTTGTTCAACTGGCCTGTCGAAATGTTTGATTTTGTACAAAAGTGCTCCTAAACTGTGAAGGTAGTGATGCTATTTCTCTTCCATTTGCAGAAAATGTTTCCAGACAGCTCATTTCTATGTAGAAGACAGCAGTTCTCCTCGGGTGGTACCAAACGAAACCGTCCCCATTATTCCCATCCCAGGTAAGAAAGGCCTTGCCTCATTCGTCCATACCTTTGATCATGGATGCAACTGCTTGAATTTGCTTAACAATTTATCCTAGTTTGGGTACAATTAAAGTCAGTTGCTCTTCTCAATCGTATGATTTCTTCCCATGGTTTAAGCCTGTTGTGGTTTATAGCCCTGTTTCTGTACAGTAATTATTTAAAATGGAGTAAAAGGTGTGTTTTAACTTTTTTTCCTTTGGATGAAACCCCCTTGATGGTTTCACAAAGGAAACCTCTAGATGTCATATAGAATTTGTCTTTTCTGACATCGGTATCTGGTCCTGTATGAGTCTTTAATTCCATTTGCCTTTTCTACTGAAGTTCAAAATCTTCATCTTAATGTTCAACAATGTCTACTAGAGGTAAATAGGTAGCATAATCTTGTGTATTTATACTTAGAAGAAAAGCATGGGTGTCGGTATGCTGGTCTTGTTGTATATTTATATTTGCCAGGATACTGCCATATAGGTAGGACATCTGATCCCTGCATTTTAGTTTAGTTCAATTTTGTTTCCAGCTTTAAAAAAATTAGTTAGTAACCAAATGAAGTAGCTTTATTTGGGGTGAGCATAATTATTGCTGTTCAATATTGTAAATCTTTTTGGACTTTGTCAGTTTTAGCTCAAAGCTAAGAACCTACTTAGGATTATTCTACTTGAGTATAAACAGATTTGGCTCTCCTTTTTATTTAGGAAATAAATGCATGTTTTATCCTTTCACAGTTTGTTCATTCTTTTATTATCAATGGCTTAAAATAAGTCTACATACAATTATTTTTGTGTGTGTGAATGTGAGCTGAATTCCACTGATGGGAAGGTTTGATTATTGCTGTATACTATTTTTAATTCCTTTAAAAAGGAAGCCTAATGTATACTTCAAAGCAATTATGGAATGTCATGTTTTTTTCTCTGACAGGTTGCAAAAGCTATTGTAATAAGATTATGTTGCTTGTGTTATTTTCGCATTTAATGTACTATATTGGATAAAGAACTTAGTGATGTGAGTTTTGCAATTACTAGATTAATTGATCAATTCTGGTCAGAGATAATAGAATGTTAGATAACGGAAAGTTGCTATTGGTTCATCCAGCTCATGTCTAACATGGTGGTCAGGGAATTATGGGAGCTGAATTCCAACATCTGAAGGAGGTCAATTTGGGAAAAGATGATCTACTCTGAGTTACAAATAAATAACTGTGAAAACTGTGAAAAATCCCTTTGACTCTTTTAAAGAATCCTTAGAAATAATTACGATCCAATTGTGTCATATAAAGATGAACAAATTCAAAGTTTGTATGAATTTATGGCTTCTATTAGCACTCCAGATGATGAAAGTTTTATAAAATTCATGATCGGAATATATTCTCTTTAAAATTGTTGCCAGAGCATATATGCATGGAGGAGTCACTTGGGATGTTGTTATTGAAAGTTGATCTTGTTTAGGTGGATATAAAAAATCTATGAGATTGTCTCCCCCCAAAAATCTCTGGGTAATGATCTGACATAGCTTTTCTTCACAGATGTTGTCCTGTTAGCTGTAAAATATATCAGAATTGTCTGGAACTAGTTATTGCAGTGTATTAATGCCCTTCATTTCTCTGTAACATTCTTCTCACCTTCTAATTACGTAGCACATTATATTACCTAATCCCAAAGGTGCTTTTTCAAGAGGCAACTGTACTTTCTGGTTTTTCTTTGAAGACGTTTCGTTTCTCATCAAAGAGTCTTCTTCAGCTTCTTGAAGAAAGAGCAAAACATCTTCAAAGAAAAACCAGAAAATTTGGTTGTCTCTTGAAAAAGCACCTTTGGGACAACCATGACCTGGATGACTGAGAATCTACATAGACATATATTAGGTAATCTTCATTCCCTAGAATGTCAGAAATTGCATAAATAATCCTCTCCAACATGGCAGTGCCTATGCAATGAACTATATGTTTTCTATAAGTTGTTTGTTTCCCATATTTTTCTGAAGTACGTAAGTTACCTTATAAAAGATGAACAAGATGAGCTTACATATTCAAAGGCTTTAGGTCAAAGAAGCTTTTCAGACTAACATCTTTATACTAATGTGTACAATCTTTAATCTTTAAAAATCTACCAAGATATAGAAAAGTAGAATGCCAGGGAACAAATATCTGATTCAGCTCTTTATTTCATATGCTAACTTGTTATACAAAAAATAAACCAACTGAAAAATTTCAAAACACAGTTTCCCCTCCAACTGCAGGGGTGTCAAACTCAAGGCCCGTGGGCCAGATCTGGCTCATGGGGTGCTTAGATCTGGCCCGCAGGGCTGCCCTGGAAACAGCAAAAGACCAGCCCATGGTGCCTCTGGCAGCGAAAGCATGCCCCCCCCCAGAGGGTTGCGGGCAGCCCTCCCAAGCTCCATTTTTGCTGACAGAGGGCTGCAGGGGGCTGTCGCAGCAGAAAGTGGAGGTCACGAGGGCTGCAGGGGGCCCTACTGAGCTCCGTTTTCGCTGGCAGAGGATTGCAGGAAGTCATCACAGCCAAAAATGGAGCTTGGGAGCCCATTTTCACAGGCAGAACACTTGGGCCACCACAGGCGCTCCCTCCCGACGTTAGTGATGTTAAGCTGGCCATGCCCACCCTAGCTACACCCACCCTGGCCCCCTGAGGTGAAATACACCCTGATCTGGCCCTCAATGAAATCGAGTTTGACACCCCTCTCCTATTGTTTAATGCAGAAACCCAAGCCATTTTCCATCTTTCCACAGTAGTCTTCTTTCTTACATACATAGGGCTAGATTTTTAATAATCTCCAACCAGCAGGGCCATTGACATTTATGGGAAGGATAATGCATCATGACTAGAGGATAGGTTAGAGACCAATGGAATAGAGCAGGCTTGTCATTTACCAAAAGGAAGCACTTGATCTTGGATTCACTCATAATTATGAAGGGCTAGGATGTGCGTATGTGTAAGTGTTTTAAATGATGGCTACTTACAGTTTTTCTTTCTGCATTTATTTTTGTGCTTTTGGGGGCCTACTAACCAATTTCTCATTGAGTATAGAAATTGAGTATAGTGATTTAAATAGATGATTAAACAACATTTTGGGAATAAGTGGTAGGCAATTCATTAATAAGTAATATTCCTGTTGGACTTCAACTCTTCACTTCTGTGCCCTCACACACACATACACAAAGTGATTAGGGATATATAATATAAGTGAAATTAAGTGAAATGATCTTGTACATGTAAGAATAGATCCAGATACAGTCATGTAAAGAGCCAAGGTGGCGCAGTGGTTAAATGCAGCACTGCAGTCTACTGCTAGATCAGCAGTTCAGCGGTTCAAATCTCACCGGCTCAGGGTTGACTNATTACCGTGTTTCCCTGAAAATAAGACAGGGTCTTATTTTCTTTTGCTCCCCGAAATAAGCACTTGGCCTTATTTTTGGGGAGGTCTTACTATTTTTGAGGAGCAGGAGGCGGTGAGTGTGGTCACCTCATGGCTGTTGCTGTGTTGCAATATTTTCAAGGAGGGCTTATTATCAGGGAAGGGCTTATTTTAGCGCTTTTGCTCAAAAGCCTGATTGGCCTTTTTATCCGGGGAGGTCTTATTTTCAGGGAAATAGGATAGATTGTCCATCCCTTTAACTTCTTCTATATATTTTCTTCCTTTGGAATGCAGTTTTTCTAGATATGATTTTTGATGCCCTCAATAAAATCAGAACACAGAAAATATCACTGATACTTTTAGGACTACCAGGTTTTTTGTACAACTTTAGGAACTCAAAGACAGGAAAGCAGGTTCTATAAATCCCAAAGCTGTCTTTTTCCTTTGCAAAGGAATGCCAATCTCTTCTGTACGAATCTCAAGATTTCTAACGCTCAAGGCTATGCTGGAACTAAATTTTCCAGAAAATTCCCAAACAAAAATGTCTTCAACTATTTTGATAAATCTCTCCGATAATCTTCAACTACTTCAGAGACAAGGAATATTGCTTCACATATCTTTCAAAGATATTAAATTCACCCTTTTGATCTGTGTTATACAGTGCTCAAGCTACAGCATTTCAAATGATAGGGAATTTTTAAAAACCCTCACTGTACCTAGTGGATCCATTTGTTTCGGACATTGCAAGGTTAAATTCAGGTACAAATTCCATCTTTTTTCTCCCCTCAAATGAGGCCAGCCTGTTTGGCATTGAAGCCAATAGCTACTAGTTTGAGGGAGGCAGAAAACTAAATGCAACATTACCTCCAACCGTTGCTGTTTTTTCCTGGAGAAAAGAAAAAAAAAAGATTCTTGACTGCATAATGTCAAGACAAAAATACAAGACACAATTATTGAGCTCCTCAGTAATGTGACACCGAGACACACACACAGCTTTGCACAACAAACTATGTAATTAAAAAACAGATGTACAGATGAATCACCATTCTTGATTTTCCAAATGTGTGAAGGAGATCTTATATTTAGGAATGATTCCTTCATGTAGCTTACTTAAAAACATTTGAATATGAAAGCTGAACTTCAAGGACATGCAAAACAAGCAAAAGCTTGTCATCTTTCTAAAAGGAATTTTTAACTTCTTGGTTTTTAAAGAATTGTAGATCCATCCATTCACAACCGTTCCTGAGCAATTACCTGGCAAATTTTTAAAATCAATTTTCTTTTAGGCAATGACTCTTGTTTTGTATTCATCCCTCTCATCCCTGTTCAAGGGGTTTAAATCTCAAAGTGGTGTCCTGTTGGCATGTACATACGGTATATGAGTATATTCTTTGGCTTCTGTGCATAGTGTAACCCTGCCTGATGTCTGAGATCTCACAAAATTACTATTCCCTACAGAAAAGTCAGCCAGAAATAAAGCATATGGAGATAGGGGATGGTGGTGGAAAGAGAATGAGGGGTCTGCTTCAGGGAACACATTGTTTTCTTTCAAAGACAACAGAGTTCTCAATGATTCATAGAAAATATGTGGGCTTTATGAATTATTCTGGAAA